GCACTCTTGTGTATACTTTGCATTTCACGCAATGTAAACTTAAAATTTTAAACGTCATCCTTACATGTCAATTGCGCTCCTTGCGATTTAAAAATAAAATGGGATTTCACTTTTGTCATATACGCATTAAAAATAGTGTGTCAGCGTTTGACAATTGGATCTCTTCAGGAACATTTATTCGATCTTCTGTATAACAAAGGCCAATATTTATTAAGAATTTGCACAAAATTGCACAATTTAAAACAAAAAATCGTTTTAAAGCCCACGTTTGGTTTAAAAAAATCAGTTTTTTGTGAATTTTTGGTGAAAAAAATTTAGTCGTTGAGATTTTTCTGATGTTGGGTTCCTGGTGGGAGCGGAGAATGCAAATGTCATCAAATACGTGCAGGCTTGGTGTGAGGATCAAAAACCGCAGATTACTGATGTCGTAATTATGGGCGTAAATCAACGATGCCAAACTTTCTGCAATAGGCTGCTATGTGCGCTTGCATACGAAATATCGTAGGAAATATATCGTTTGCGTAGACCGGTATCGCATACTTGTTACCCGACAGGGTCCCCAGGGACCCATGACGTTTTCAATGATGCGTCATTTTAATCCTGTTCTACCTAAATGCCGCAGCCTTCGTAACTTCCATAAATGGAAAAAAGTGCGAAGATATTAGAAATCAAATTATATCAGACAATATTTCGACTAAAGCGCCATCTAGCGGGACCATTTTTTGTAAATATATTTCCTACTATGTATAGATGTCCGACTCTGTATCTAATACATCGGTCCAAAAATACGGGCTTTCAAAATACTTCCACCCCGGCGCCACCTAACGGGTAAATTTTTTGCAAAAATATTCCTGCATATGGAACCTATACATGGAAAAAAAAATCCAGATTGGAACATAACTAACATAGATTTTTGACTATAAAGTACTTAAGTTGCTGCTCCTTAGCAGAGCACATATTTGGTCTAATGGTTCGCTGTGAATTCGGGTGGATGAAATATAATACGTCAGCTATCAGTGAAAACGAGGTATTATCTCCATACTATAGTTATCGCATCCGCTTTGTCGAATGCCACCAGCTGAGCCCGAGAGACGTTGCAATAGTATGGAAACTGAAAACTAAAAGATCTCCCCAAATTCGTAGAGTACCAACAACCCTATCATCGAGTCTTAAGCCATTTGTGTATGCATGGAAAGACTTGCCCCTTCTGCCATCTTTTCGATTCTCTTAAGGATATAAGAGCCTTATTTGCAATGTTGAGAAGACTTATCTTTCGGTAGATCAACAAGATCTCCAAAATTACGCTTGACATCTGGTGCAAGCGCACTTCCTTAGTCTTTGTGTTTTTTTCAGTCGCATTAGTTTTTCCCGGCTCACCTTGATTTGATGGAAGGACGTGAGCTTCGTCTCTCAACTTTGTCTTCTCAGCTTTGTCGTCGTCAAACGCGCCATCTGTGTGCTACGAGAAGTGTTTCTTCCATACGTCAAATATATTTTGACATCTTATATCAGCGTTCAATCCTCCTTTTCGTAGATGAACGCCCCGGTCTTGAAACAGTTTGACTGCTGCCCTACTTTCTATTGCAATTTTCAGACTCACATTTCTAACTCTGGAGAAGGCATCTACCACCCCTCTTTTTTCTCGGTATCCATTTTTTGTCGCGCTAGTCGCAGTTAGCTGAAGGGTTGGGTGCTCTGAAGCGAGTTGTTTCCGCATTGACGTTAAAAACCAACTACATAAAAGAGGACGATGAGAAGTTTCCTGCGAAAGCAGTATTTAGAGTGATTTATATTATTAATTGATAATGGTCAACCATACTTTTTTCAACCATGCGGCGTTTGTTCTATACTGTATCTTAAATTACACTTACCCATTGTAGGGCTTACAGTTATTGGATGTGTTTTATAGGAGCTTCCCGGATGCCTATCAGCCTGCGTGAGAAACTATGTACTTACCACAACATTGGGGGTATCTGCGGCCGTGCGTTGTTTCCTCTCCTTATATTATTTGGTCACCGAAAGGTTCCATGCACGTGCTGGTATATGGCGCATAAACATGGACAATGGCAACATCCGATGAGGCGGTTGTTCTTGCAGTATTCGTGAGAAAGAGGTTGCGGAAGATTTACTGGCCTTTCCGCTTTGGCCAAGCCAAACTGCTCTGAAAGTATTCAACTCGGAACCCGCTGGTGGTAGCAGAGTAAGAGGGAGGCCCCCACTATGAAGGAAAGACCAAGTGGAAAAGGACTTAGCTTCACTTTGCATTTTCAATTGGCGTCAGTTTGCACAGAAGAGAAACGATTGGCGTGCTTTGTTGAACTCGAACAAGAAGAAGAAACTCAGCACGCAACCTAAGAATCAGATGAACATGTTAAAACTCATTCCCGGATACCTGTACGGATCAATATTCCGCCGACGGACATGGAAAAAATACGTGATTGTTCTGAACCGGTCTGAACGACCTCTGTCTGAAAATTCGGGCTAGTCCACACCTTTCCAACGTCTCCAAGTGATGACGATCTCTTAAAAATAAAAATGTGTTGATAGAATGCGGTAAGGGCATCTTGTCCGCCAGTCAAAACCGACATAACGCGAAGGAAACTCCTAAGGCTCTACTAGCAAAACCTTCACTTGCCAGAGATTGGGATTCTCAAAGACAGGAGTCGGCAGACAATAACATCCTGTGGAATGTAGTTTATGCCTAATGTATGTACTTCGTCAAACTGGCAACACGTATGGTAGCACAACAAATTTGGCCTAAACTCGACAAAGATAGGACCAACGTCCTAATTCTCCTGGTACGCCCTCGACTCAGGATGGCTTTTGGAAGCATTACTAGTCATCACCTAATGGGATTACACTCTGCAAGATTAGGCTTTTCGACAAACTATGTACTTATGTCGAATCTACATTGGAAACTCCATTCCAGTTTTCTGGCAATTGAAGCATATTTGAAACAGATTTTTCTTTAAAGACATCTCGCAAACAATTCCTTTCTCTGGGGAACTTGTTGCAATGCAAGAATACAGGTTCGACGTCTTCGGTAAAGCTTCCAGCACTGGTATCACATGTGTCAGCGTCTTCCATATTAAATCGTCTTGGGTAATCCCTAAAGCAGCCGTGACCTGTAAGCAACTGAGTTAATATCCTGCACTGTGTAGAAGCAGGCAACGGCATCTGGGATCAACGTTCCCGGCTGACCTGTCGTTTCAAACACCGACGCAAGATGCCTGATGCGGTTCAGCAGTGAGCGGAAATGGTACAGCAGAGGCCTTCTATCATTGGACTAAGTGCGAATAGGTGAGAATGGCTCCACTAAAGCTCCTTCTCTTTGTGTCTTGACGCCAAGCTCTACACTGTTGATTACTACATGTTGCACATGGGCTGCCTGTAGGGCGCGGCTGGGTATAGTCGAGCAACTGTAACTGCATATGTCAAAGCACAACAACAAGGACTAATCCTGAAAGCAGATGATTCTCTATTTGACACAAAAAGACACAACAGTACATTTTCTGACAGGTACATACATACATATATATTTGCGAAATGAACCAAGTCTATGACTAACAACATCTTGGCGGTACCAAAATGAGTGCCACCCAGCGAAGAAGTGAATCGACAAACGGAATCAGTGACGAGGGAGTGAGATATCGTTAAATCACAGCGTCTAATGCGAATATGCAAATGTATGTTAAATTGCCGTTACATAAAAGAAAAGAAGGCGTGGCCTAATTTTGAATTTATCATAAAATGAAGAACGATAGCAAGCAAAATACAAAAAAAAAGGAAAAAGAAAACGCCGAATGGGAAAATGGTAGGTGAACCCTACACCAAAAAAATTATCCATTTATCTCGCAATGGATATCTGAATCTTGATATTGTCACAGTTAAGCTGTATTATAAATTTCAGCATTGGATGCAGAACTAAAATGTGAAAAACCTGTCAACACACGCAACGAACAAACAATCGTAAAGGAAAACTCCTCCCCCACCCCATAAGAAAAACAAAAAGCCAAAGGAAAAAAAGTTGCAAATGGGCAATAAAATCACGAACTTCGAACTTTCCTAAAACCCAATCAAAGTAAGTTTGCCTGCGAGTGTTGACGCTGTGTCGTAGGTGGCTCCTTGAAATATGCCAAAATGTGCCGAAATCAAATTCGAAACGCTTTGACACACGACGGCGGTGTTGATGGCGGCGTTACCTAAAGTGGCAAAGGCAAGCACGCTGGCGCTGAAGGTGGCAACCGCTGAAATCGCTAGTGATGTTTGTTGATGTCGGCAAAGCACATAGCCGCACACAGCATACATACCATCGCCGGCAAAGCGGAAGAGAAACTGCTGCATATGACACGATCAGTGTGGATCACTCACAGGCGATGGCTGAACGTCGTTTTGCACTCTGCATACAGCCGGGTGTTGCCATCAAAGACGACGACGATGACGACCAACTGACTGCCGAACAAATCAAATCAGCATACAATGGAAATGTGGTGGGAAACTACATACTAGCTGTTGACAAAGCCACCAGCCAACCGAGCCAACGATGGTGTCCAAAATAAATCATGGCAAGCGCCTGCGATAACACTACAAAGGGACAATATGGGCGATTATGGATGTTTGTAGTACTGATCGCGTTCGTCGGTCGTCCAACGACGGGCTAAGGAAGGAAAGCAATGCCCACGTATGGAGCTATGAGGCGCCTGGCAAAAAAAACAAGCAAGCAAGCGATTTCTATCTTTTACTAATATTTGATTGTACATAGAGTCTTTGTTCGCTGGCGACAGCTGTAGAAGCGCCATATTTTCCCATGACCACAGTTTGCAATTCAAATTTTGAAGCGTAACTGGAACAAGTAAGCCTTTTCGGCCCACCAAAGCAAATATACAGTCATTTTCGTATTCTTCTTCTTCTTCTTTTTCTATTTCTCACTTGAAGACACAACCATTCTGTCATGGCAACACGAAATTTGTCATGTGTTTACACTTTTTTATTTTGCCACATGCAAATTTACAAATTTCTTTACCGTAAAAAATCATAAGTTACGAGTACAACATATAAAGGGTACATATGTACATAGTAGCAATAGGCACAGGCGGGTATGTATGCAAATGCATTCCAAAAATTTGGTACACCTTAGGCGCATAGCTCCTGCTTGTAGACAAGGCGAAAGCCACGACCCACATACTCGTCATCGCTGCGCACTGGTAATATAATTGGTCCCGCCGCGAAATCCTTAACCGGAGCATTTTGTGTGAAGTCATCTGAAACGATGCCATCGTTGAAACGCTCACCACAGAGGCGCACTTGATTGATGGCGATATAGTCATCGGGGCAATTGAAAATGCCAGCACCCGCCTGACCATCGGGCACCAAGTCCACTGCATCTAGAAAAAAATAAGTATGTAAAAGTACTAGGAAAAAATTTATGAAATTTTATTTACCTTCGTCCTTATTAACGATTTGAAAATCCAATTGATCGCCACCAATTTGCTCGGTGTTATAATTAACCGAGCACATATCCTTGGCACGTAGTAGACAGATGGCATAATTTAAATTATTCTGAAAATGAAATATAATTATACATAATAGTACTTAATTTAATGGCTCTTATATTTTGCTGTAAAGTTACCAGATATGTCGCTCCAACAGTGTTAACAAAGGTGCCTGCCGAATCATAGTTGAATGACTTCACAACGCCTTCAGTTTCTGGGTAAAACTGCAAACAACCCTCCGGGGCAAGATCATTTTCGAGCTGGAGTTACATACTTTATTAATAAATGAAAGTTTGTACATAAATTAATGTGTTTATTATGTACAGTGAAAACTCGATATGACGAACTGAAGAGGTTGGACAAATGCTTCGTTATATCTACAGTTTCGTCATACTAATGGAACGCCAAAACCTCGATACTACGAAAAATTTTGGGAAAACTCGTTATTAGTATAGTATCGTTTTTGATGCGTAAACATTTCTTACGTAACCCAGCAGCAAATCTGTGATAGTTTACTGTGTCTACAACCGAACATTTCTACACCAGTTCAGGGCTATTGTAGGCTCATTTCAGGACTAGTTCACGATTAGTTTAGGACCATTTCGGAAGTAATTCACGCCTACTTCAAGACCATTTCGGGCCTAGCTCAGGGTTATTTAAAAAGGTTTCGGGACTAGTTTGGTATCATTTTGGGGCTAGTAAGGGACCATTTCGGGACCATTTCAATATTTGTACGAGATCCTTTCCGGACTTTTTCAGAACCGCTTTAGGACTATTTGCGGACAATGTTGGGACTAGTTTCGGATCATTCCGGGATGGGTTGTTTGGTTGGTTTAAGTGGATTGTCACCCTGATGACATAATAATAAGCTAGTTTGCCATTTTGATAACACAACTCTGCGGGCATTTGGCGGTCTTGATGAATTTCAGTACGTCATACAGAGAGAGGCAGCTGCACATTAAAAATACTCTGCAGGAATAGTTTCTGAGTGTCTTTATCCTCATCCTTGCGAGAGCTGGATACGCGCACAGAAAGTTTTCGACTGTCTCTTTTGAGCCCGGCTCATCGTAACTGCGACAGCACCTATTAAAGGGTACCCCAAAGAACCAGGGCCCTATACGCACTGCAATAAGTTTGTAGGTGGGTCGAAGGACACCCAAAAAATTGCCGGGTAATCCTATATGTACGATCCAGTACGGTTCCACCTATGCTCGGCCTTCGAGTGAGAAATTCCGGTAATTAGGGGCCACATTTAGTGCGGACCGGCAGCTTGATTGTTTGTCTGTTGCCTCATTTTCGTAAATGTCCCTGTATTCCGGGACCCATATTAGGGTAATTTCGTATGGATCAGAAATCGAGACCAGTAGCTGGATTCCAACATTCGCTGTCGAAAATTTGAACCGCCAAAAATCTCCGAGAGAATAGCAGGCGCGCCTAACAACATGCAATATGTAGCAAAATGTCTGTCGAGCTGCTAGATTTGGCTTATTACACATTTCGTTTGTTACTTTTCCATGTTGTATACTTTAGGCACCATTTTTGCGTAGCGATTCCTAGAATTCCACTGCAGCTCTCTCCTTTAGTCATCTACCAGTTGAGTTCAAACAGATGTAGAAGAGTGTGCCTGAATAGCCGCTTGGCTATCCGCGATAATATTCACCAGTCTTCTCGCGGGTACATTTTCTTTGATGTACTTTACTGTCTTTTTAATTGCAAACGTTTTGGCCTGGAAAACATTTGCATAACTGGTAGGCGAAAGAATAACTTTAGGTAATACTGTTCAATAAAGATCCCTGCGCCAAACTCCCCTTCCGTCTTTGAGCCGTCCGTAAAGGCAGATAAGCCCTGCAAGAACTGAACCCTTCCTTGAATCTAGTCACTGCGGTTTGGGAATTTCGTGTGGGGTTTGTGGTGAACCCAGGTCTTCGAGAGGATATAGCCATTTGGCAGTCGGCAATGCGTTTAAGATGAAACCATGCCCAAACGGTATTTCCACCCAGAGCCCCAAACCGTGCAATCTGATGGCGCTGTTAGCAGCTGAGTTTTCCTTAGAGACATCTATCGGTAATAAATCAAGAAGGACGTTCAAAATTTGGTATGCCATCGCTTGAATTCCGTTTAGGGTTTTAACTACGCTTGTGGTTTGGCATGCTGCCAGGCCATCGCTCTATAAGAGAGTACGGGTCGGACTATAGCTGTTTCTATCCAGTGCACATTTCTTGCTTTCAAACCGCAACTCTTGCTTGAAGGCTACCGTGATCTTCCTTGCACGATTTTCAATGTTTGTATTCCAATTAAATTTGGGAAACAGAATAACTCCGAGGGTATTTCACCTTGTTTGACTGTATCAGCTCCGTTCCTCGGACTCTTGATTTAGTAAGACTAGGTACATTTGTTTTATTTGTGTAAAGCACAAAGTCAGTTTTCTCAGGGTTTAAGCTAAGAGAGCAAATTATGGCCCTGGAATCAACTGTCATTAGAGCTATTTCATTAATTTCACTTATGACCGAAGGAAACTGATCCGATACCAGTATTGCTACATCACCGTCAATATATTCCGAAGGTTTTCATACACAAAATTTTGAAATAGGGTTGCCACACGACCGCAAATTTTAGTGAATTAAATACATCTCTTAAGTAAAACAGTTTTAAATGCTTTCATGAATAGCTTCAAGTTCATTCGTCGCGAATCCGTGCAGGATGAACTCAGGATTGAGAATCACACTCAGCTGCAATGGAATGGAATGGCAATGGGAGATATACTTCCTGAAGTCCAAAACACCATAATCAGAGCAGATAAGTGTGTTACTAGCATTCGAGAACCTGAAGTTTTGGTTCAAATGTTGGACAAAAAGGTTTAAATAAAAAAAAAACAAGTTTTTGGCGGAACGAAGTTCGCCGGCTCCGCTAGTATCCGATAGTATAGTAAAATTTTGTTAAGTAAAAAAATAATTTTTCAATATAATCATATTTACCTGTACTATTTTTATATTGAAGGACCGGTCACCTGCGGCTACTTTAGTGATAAACGAGAGATATATTTTCTTCTCAAAGGAATTGGTTACATCAACATATACTGGAAGGAATGGAAGATGGTATTGAAAATTAATTTAATGAATTAAATAGCACAAATTAGTTTATTCGTAGTGCATAATTAGTATAGGGGCATTCGTCGACATTTCGACTTCAAGAAAAAACCTTCTCCAAGAGCTTCTTAAGCTAATTAAACCGTACTGCTGAAATTTTTGTGGTGGAGTTATTATTTATTTTTTTTTCTTTCGTATAAAGAACGGCCGGGTATAATGTAAATTTAAGAGACTCAGAAGACTAAGGGACCGTAATGACTATGATTTTCAGATTTAATTTAGATTTAATTTTTTTTGATCAATAAAAAAAAATCCAAAAAAATAGATATTGCAATGGTCTAACAACGAAAATCTTGACGTTTAACGGTTATTTTCGGTCCTTGAATTTACTTGTTAACTTTAAAGTTGCTTTTCTCGGAAACTTATTTTCGCACCGTAGCAAAATGAGGCAGCAACAAAAAGTCAACGCATTTTGACAGTAATCTTTAACTCCCCGCTTTCACCACCCATCAAACGCAAAGTTTTTCGCTAGAGGTAGTGTATGAGTGTGAGAATGAAAATATTTTTGAAGAGGGTTGCCATCTGTTCAAATGCTAAAATCAATTTAAATAACTGGTTGAATTAAACCTTTTAATATGGATATCAAACGAGAGAGGTTTAAGAAAGCTTTCTTTCGAAATATTTTTAAGAGTGTTGCCACTTGACTAGAGATTCAAAACACATTTATGTAACAAAAACTTTTTATGTAGTTATCAAACGAAAGAAATTTGAGAAAGCTATATTTTGAAAATATTTTTGACGAGGGCTGCCACCTGCTTTAAAAAAGAAACGATAAAAGCTAGTAATTAAAATTTTGATTAACTTACTATGTTGGCCTGTATTAATGCCACAAAGTATGGGCACGACAAAATTTATATTCTGGCCGGATACGATAAACTGATCATCCATGCAGTCGCCATCAGTAGGTCGATTCAGCTGGGAAAAAGGTAAAGTAAAATTTTGCAAATCTAACTAATCTATCTCTTCTACAACTCACCTCAAACATGATAAAATCTAGTCGCAGCTGTTGCACATTGTCCCGCAAGTTGATGATCAACACACATATCAACATTTCACGCACTGGATCCGGATAGTTAGGGCTCTCAAAGTAAACCACCGATTGTTTGGTTGTACCGCCACAGCCAGTCAAAACTTTTTGTCAAAAACGAAAGTAAAGTACTAAGTTTATTAAAACCGAGCCTACTCGCCTTCAGCACACTCACATACACAACACACGCCCATACCATCTGCGCACGCCTCCGTCGGTATGCCGCCTAAACTTTTGCACTCAAACTCGTGATAGCAAATTCCCTCCATAGCGCGTACGCGTACATCAATCTCACCCATGGCCACCGAGCACTTGGTATTCTCGAATTTGATGACTTCGAAGAGACTGAGGAACCCCTTTGATCTCGTTTTGTTGCCACGGTTTTGCTGCTGCAACAGATTTAGCGCGAAAGGGGAGCCATGAAAGAGCAACTGCTTTATGGCATTTCCAATTTGTGGTGGTCTCATGATGGAGTTTATAGTGTCGGAAGCTGCGGCAGAATTGACTGTAGGCAATGTCATGACAACTGTAGCTGGTGTTGGTGTTGTAACAATTTGTGCTGATCTCACTGTAGACGAAGGCGATGGCCGGTCAGTAGGCAATGCAGCTATTGGTTGCTCTAAGAATTCTTCTTCTGAATCTTGCTCATCGTACTCATCTGCTGCATCCGCTTCACTAGTATCAGCATCCGCTGTGCTTGTAGGGACAGAGTCCGTTGGTATGTCGACCTGCGGCTGTTTATGCCAAAGCAAGCGTGGCATTTGATGCAAAGGCCTATAGCGTAAGCCATAATAATCGGATATATCGGCATAACGTGTCCACTCTCTCGACCCACTTAACACTTTATAATTATTTTCCGATGCAGTGCTAATATCCTCCAGTGACCAATTATTTTGTACTCGCAACGTGACAAAGTCGCTAACATATGACACAACCACACCCACTAATGTGGTGCAAATGCTCAAATTGACCAGCAACAATTGTTGCTGCATAGCTGCTATGTCCGCTAATGAAACGTTTTGAACGGAAGCCACAGTCTAGACTGTTGTCAGTGCCAAACTGATGGTCTCCACGCACCGAGTGATGTTTCACTTTTACAACTTTTACAACATTCTTAGCAGATTTCTTCCGATGCGAATATGTATCTTTCTTTCAGTTTCTTTAAGCCTCTCTAGCGCTTTATTAGAGCATTAATTGTGAACAAGCCTTTTCTGTGTAGCATGTGCAATGTGACAATAATAACAACAGCAACAGTATGTAGTAAGCAATGCAACCTTCACTTTTGCGGCAGTTGCCTTAAACTTTTTTGTTTTTGTCATGGTAATGTGATTTCAAATGTTGCACAGATACATGTTGCTGAAAGTAGAATAGGAAAGTGGTGCAAAAAAGCGAGACCCGCTTAAAAGCAGGGTTTTAATACAAGTCTTGAAATTTCCAAAAGCATTTGGTAGCAAGAAGACTGGGAAATGCTTCTAAGTTTCCTTAGCGAGAACAGCGACCACAGATTTGCCACGTATTTTGTCGAGCTTATCGTACGATTTGTGGCAGGTATTACCACTTGGCTACGACACCGTGACTTTCATTTATATTGGCTATCTAACTGATCCAGTATAATGCAGTTTCGTTGTGTTAACTGACCAGTATTTGAAATACTAAGGCGATAAGGCTAAGTACTTCTCGTATTCATGTCTCAGAAGTCCTTCTACCGTGTCAGATTACCAGAAAAATCTGGCCAAAAGTTGATGAACCGCTATTCTCTCATATTAGTATTCGGGGTGGTAAGCCTTTTTGCTTCACCAGTCGACATTTTTGTCCATCACCCAAACTTTCATCACAAATTATACCCTTCCGTGGGTATAATACATACGAAAAATGTCGAAGTCTCACTTATAACCATCAGACTTCAATTTAATACTCACTTTTCATTAGTAGATGAAATAGGCGAAATCGGGCAATAACGAATAAATTCTAATATAACGGTATTTATAAAAAAAAACGACATTATTAAGAAACTTCTTTTTTTAAGTTTTAAAATAAGCGTAGACAAATTTTTTTTATCAGTTAACAACAACGCCCACTTCCCATATTACAGTATTTTTCACAAAATAGAAACAATCCAATATTTCAATAATAAATAAACTAATACATGGAGATATCTTTACGTAAACTACTTATTTTTATTTTAAATAAAAAAAGACGCCACTTTTTACGAAATTGGTAACCGGTACCAAAAATTCGAATTTTTGAGTTTAGTAACCGGTACAAAACGATTTCATTTTTAAATTACCATAATAAATAATATGACTGTGACCTACCGTCTCTTCCCAAAATTGGTAACTCCTAATAAAAACTCGGGTTTTTGAAAATTGGTAACCGGTACAAAAAACCAATCTCATTTTCTTAGTTCATAGTGATTCTTATAGGAGTAAAGTTCCAACAAATTTCGACCACTTCTTATATTTTTCTACATTTATCCATTTGTGCGTCAGCGCTATTTACTAGCAGCAATGGGCTAATTGTCAATAGGTTTTCATTAATTAAAAATATTTCCTATCAAATTTAGAGATAGGACATTTTCCCATTTTTATTAAAATATTTTTCCGGAACTTTTTCCACCTTAAGTGCTACAGTGACTGGCCTAACTGTAACTTTTAATAGCAACGTTATTTTTCTCAAAAGAGAAAGCTTCGACAGCCTAAATACCAAAACAGTCAGTGTGAGACTTTAACTTAGAGCTGGAAAACTATCGATGGTCGTGGCCATACGATTTTAACTGCTCTGTGTACTGTGCGTGGTTGATCTCGGTTCGCATTTCTTGAGCTATGAGATCGAGTGGGCATAATCCCGAGATGATAACAGCTGCATTTTCAGAAACAGTTCTGAAAGCTGAACACACTCTAAGAGCACATAAGCGATACGTAGCCGATTGTAGGATGGCGGTTTGAAAGCGTCGAGCCGAACTATCGATCCAGGGAGCAGTATTGATCGTTAGATGCCTATTAATACTTCCCTAGACTGCTATCTTGCTCCCCCAACGTTCGCAATTAGTATAGATAGGGCTGCTGTTGCCGTCGCTGCCCTTTGTTGGCGTAATTCAAATGATCCTGGAAGCAATGTCGGTGATCAACCAGGACTCCGATTAAACAGGTTTACAAAAAAATAACTTTCTACATATTAAACCAAACCTCTATACCTATGTTATTCGAATCGCTGAACCCGGATCCGAGGTCCGTTAACCTCCATAATGTTTTGTTGTCGCTGAATCTGAATATAGGGATCCTTCTTCAAGGTCACCTCAAGGTCAAATTCAGCATTGAATTTTCTGGTTTATTCAATGAATTTTCCCCTACTGCACCTTCAAAAGACCTCGAACCAGACGTTATGGACCTAACATAACATTGGGATATAGAGGTTTGCTTTAATATGCAGAAACTTTGTTTTTTTGTTTGTAAACTTTTGTTATTTTTCATGCAGGTTTTTTTCACTTCTTTGGTGGGCTCTATTTTGCTGATGGATCTGTCTTAGAGCATAGGTACTGCCTTAAAGTTTGTACGAAGAACTCTACAGGAAAATGCGTGAAGCTGCCCACAATGCCGCCATATAGAAAGCTACTGCGTATAATTTAGTCGCATTTTTAGTCAGGTAATCGAGAACTAATGATGAGACAATCGCTTCTATAAATAGTTAATATAAATTTGAATTCACTCTCTCAAGGTTGATAACATCAAAGCTGGCTATAAACTCCTGTACATATTTCCATGTAAGTTTCCTATAATACTCACATATTTAATAAATACTTGATGCATATATGAATATGCATATACATACATACATAATTATCGAACAAAAAAGTGTTTACTGAATTGATAATTATTTTTCCTATCTACTTAATTACTTATTTACTATTGGATCCAAGTATCAGCAAGCTTTCGCAACTGGTTTTTAGTGTTTCCCTTAAATAATTGCATAAAAAGATGTATATATATATTTACTATCACTAATAAATTTTAATTGCGGTGCATTATCGGTATTC